ATAAAATATCGGTGCTCCACTACTCACCCCAATTCATAAATCAAGATGGTATTCTGCAGCTTGGACTTGGCCTATCGGGCCTACTCCAACTATACAAGGAAAAACAAGTTGCCAGCTGAAGTGGTGGTGAAATTTTCAAAACAACGTCTCAGAGATCAAATTTTAAAGTCTACATCAGCAACACCCCTGAAAATTGGGGATCAACAAATCAGAATTTTGAAAGATGTTCCATTTGAAATCAGAATGAAAAGAAAGGAATACAAAGGACTGACCACCTTCTTACAAAAACACCAAACAAATTACAAATGGTTGATACCCGAAGGACTGGTTTTCAAGTTTAATGATAAAAGAGAGAAGATTGACTCCATCTTCAAGGCTCAAGATTTTTTGAAAAAGCATGTCAGCAAAGAAGAAGGTGCAGAACTGGCCAAGTGGATGTCGACGTTAAGCGTAGAAGACAGCAGCTCGGAAGGGGAGGTGAAGGGCGAGGAAGAAGGAGGAGCGTCGGGTTATAACCTGAGAGACAAAAGTGGGAAGAGCTATAAAACTTAAAAACTGCTATCTCTCTTTTTTAAGTGGATTTTACTCGGGAAGAATAAACTGATATCAGCTACCAGAAGGACAATACTAACTTACTAATTGCCTGGTTAACACTATTGAAAGAAAAGAAGAAGCCTTGGTGAAGAAGAAAATTGTGGACTCTCTGATTTGATTATAAAAAGGTTTAACAAATTAACATATTACTAATACCACTCATTCTTTTCTTTGTCCCTCTTTATACCCTTCCTTATTTCTAACTTTTAGCAAAATATCTCCCCTTTTTAGGGGAGCGAATAAAGCTTATTTTAAAAAAAAGATGGTATTCTGCAGCTGTATATCAATCCAACAACCAGATATATGTCCCCGCAGCCCTATCATCCGCCAGGCACATCTCGCACCCCCGATGGTACCCACACCAGCGGTGGTAAGGGTGCGGTGATGGAAAAAGCGTTGGTGGAATAATGGTGGCGGTGGCTCCTACTCGAAAGCCTGGTGGAAGAGCTCCGTTTTGCCCAAGGTCCCGCAGGGCCCGGATCTACCACTAGTTGTTACATACATGACAGGAGGCCTCTTTAGACATTTTGTCCACAGGCACTGTGAGCCTGCCAGCTACATATTTCTGGAGAACAGTCCCCATTGTGTGTATCAGGCAGCTGCAAAGTAGAATGTGCAAACAGGGCAAGGGTTCAGTACCTTCTCCCATTATAATTTTCTCTTAGAAGTGAGTCAGTGCCTGGACCCATCTTGTGCTCCCCATTCATGCAGTTTGCTATTAAGGTTCAACTATGCTGAAAAGACAAGCTGCAGCTGAAGGTGAGGTAAAGGAGGAGCCAAAGAGACAATTGGCTAGGTTATCTGCTAAACCTGCTCTGCCTAAACCAGAGTCAAAGCCGAAAAAGGCAATACCCAAGAAAGAAAAAGGAGCAAATGATAAAAAGGAGGACAAAAAAGTAGCAAAAGGGAAGAAGGGAGCCAAAGGAAAAGATGAAACTAAGCAAGAAGATGCTAAAGAAGAAAACCACTCTGAGAATGGAGATACCAAACCTAACAAGGAACCAGCTGCTGAAGTATGTGATGATAAGGGAGCCAAGTCCGAGTAACAACATTTGCCCTGTTCATTTCCATCATTCGGTATCCATACCTTCATACTGTATTGTTAAGAGAGGAATATTTTTATTAACTATTTTATAAATGCAGGGTTTTTAAGCATGAATTTAATCATGGAACATCTTCATCACTGTTACTTGGGACTTAAAAAAAACCAAACAAAAAACTTTTGTTTTTAAATTTTTGTGATTGTCATAGTTTGTATGGTACCTGGAAAGAATCAGTGGTGGTAGCTATTGACTTCTGTCAGCATATAATCCCTTTGTGTGTAAATCAGGCAGACTTCAGATTTTAATATCACCCTTGTTACATGTTGTACAGTTTCTTAATGTGGGGAGGTCTCAAAAAAAAGTACACAAAATAATTGTGTCAGACATTCTGGTGGTTCTGTGGGTTGCTTTTATAAAGAAAGAGAGCTATTTTCATGGGGGGAAATCCTAAGAAGCTGGAAATCTTGTTGTATCCCAAATGTAGTTTTATTTTCTCACATTTTGGAGAAGAAGAATAATGGGGGGGAAAGTGTAATCGTGTTTTTAAATGAAATACAAAAAAAATTCTTTTAGAAAAAAAGGCAGGTTGGCTGTTAGGAATTTTGCTGGATTTATTTTAGTTAAAAAAAGACTCCTCGGAAAAAAGAAAGAAAGAAGTGTTCCCCATCTCCTCAGTAACATTGAAGGAGGAACACAGGGCTGGGAACCCTAGAATCATGGAATAATAGAGTTGGAAGGGACCTCCAGGGTCATCAAGTCCAACTCCCTGCACAATGCAGGAAATTCACAAATGCTTCCCCCCCCCCCAGTGGCCCCTGCTCTATGCCCAGAAAAGGGCACCCCCCCCCCCAGGATCCCTGGCCAAACTGGCCTGGAGAACAATAGTTTCCTGACCCCCAAAGTAGTGATCAGCATATCCCTAGGCATATAAGAAAGGGTCACAAGAACTAAGCATTGATACAACCCTTCCTTCTCGTGAATCAGCAATGCTGTCAGATGGCCATCTAGCATCTGTTTGAAAACCTCCAAAGAAGGAGAGCCCACCAACTCCTGAGGAAGCCTGTTCCACTGAAGTTCTTCCTAATGTTTAGCTGAAAACTATTGTGATTTAATTTCAATCCATTGGTTTTGGTCTGACCTTCTGGGATAACAGAAAACAACTCCACACCATCCTCTATATGACAGCCTTTCAAGTACTTGAAGATGGCTATCATATCAGTCATCTCCTCTACAGGCTAAATATACCCAGCTCCTTCAACCTTTCCTCAAAGAACTTGGTCTCCAGATCCCTCATCATCTCTATTGCCCTCCTTTGGACATGTTCCAGCTTGTCTATATCCTTCTGAAACTGTGTTGCCCAAAACTGAACACAATACTCTAGGTGAGGTCTAACCAGAGCAGAGTAAAGAGATACCATCACTTCACGTGATCTGGACACTATACTTCTGTTGATACAGCCCAAAATCACATTTGCCTTTTTAGATACCACATCACACTGCCAACTCATGTTCAGGGTATGGTCTACTAAGCCCCCTAGATCATTTTCACACATACTACTGCCAAGACAACTCTCCTCCATTCTATAATTATGCATTTGATTTTCCCTACCTAAATGCAGAAGTTTACATTTATCCCTGTTGAAATTAATTTTATTTGTTTCAGCCCAGTTTTCCAGCCTGCCAAGTTCATCCTGAATCCTGACTCTGTCTTCTACCATATTTGCTACCCCTCCCAATTTAGTGTCATCTGCAAATTTAATAAGCATTCCCTCTATTCCTTTATCGAAATCATTTATAAAGATGTTGAACGAAACAGGTCCCAGGACAGATCTCAGAGGTACTCCACTTGTCACTTGACTCCCTGTCTTTCTTTTATAACATATAGTCTTATCCTAAAACATATCTAAAAGAGTTGCAAATATCACAATATAATTCATTAAGTAGAATGGTTAAGATGCAGACAGTAGCATACCACTAGAGTTACTATTAAAACAAATGTTTAATGTAGATTCCCCTTCCCCTAATTTTTTTTGAGAATGGAAGGATTTCTATCTGTGGAAGCGTGATTTTCCCAACTCCCCATCCATTTTCTAATGCATAATTTCTCTCTTCTCCCCACCTTCCAGTCCAGCAGTTCAGAATGCAATAAACTTTTAAGTGTTCTGACCATACTGAAACTAAAACAGTCTTAGGAATTTAATAAAGAAACACTTCTTTGGATCCTCACATCTCTCCAAAGACTCTTTAAACAATTTATAGTGTCCTGGAACAGGTTGGAGGAAATTAGAGCTGAATAATGTGCACTATGATGTGCACATTCTACACTCCCAATTCACACATCCCAGTTTTTCCTGGATGGCACAGAGTGTAACAGGTAAAATACATCTTTTACTGTGGTATACTGCTCAAATTCAGCAAGCCTGGATGAGCAGAGCAGCTTTCTGCTTGTGTATCCCTTAAACTCAATTGTGATACAATGCTAGACTGGTGAGGTTCAGTAGGTCATTAAGAAGCAGTTCAACTAGTCCTGAAGCTTAGACCAATTGCACTATTGAGCTCTCTTTGTGTGTGTGTGTTTGTGTGTGTGTGGGTGTGCACGCACGCAGATTCTGTTTGCTTACCCCCCCCCGATTTCTCATGAGCCTCCAACAGAGTAGTCTAATTACAAAGGCTCCAGCCCAAGTGAAGTTAATCAAACCAAAATTCTATTGACTGAGCCTGTGTCATGAAAGCCAATGATTCAGACATGTATATCACTTCATCATTGTGCAGTGGATGATTCATGACTGATGGTGTGAACTGAATTGAAAGTCTGGGCTGGATCCAGTGCAAAATCTCCTTGTGCTAGCGTGCAAGTGGATACTCAAGAAAATGATAGCCACTTGTGATAAGTCAAAATGGTATCCCCACCTGTATTTCTGCTTGCATGAGATTTTGTGATAACCAGTTTCTGGGCACTCTAATATATAGGGCAGAAAGCAGTAGTGCACTTTGCACAAGAAGAACTGTACTGAGTCCATTTAGGTTTCTGCTTGTGCATCACGGGATCCAAACCCTTGGATCTACAAGACAGGAAGGTTCTGCCTATGGTCCTGGGATGCTACATCCACACATGCAAGTTGTCAGGTGATAATATTTTTTTTTTTTGTAAATTTCTTTTTATTTTAACCAAATGTCTCACATTCAACATTTTATCCTTATACAACTATTTCCTTTATATTATCCCCCTCGCCCCTTCCCCCCTCCCTCCCCTCAGTCCCCCTCCCTCTTCTTTCTTCCATCATTGCTTCAGCCACGGGCACAAGGTCCAAAGTTTCCATTGAATATCCTTCCTGGCTTCATCCTCCTCAATCCACTCAAAGTATGGCGACCATTTTCCTCTTATCATCCTCTTCTTTTCTTCCCAGGTTTTCTGCTCCGTCATCAAAGTTACGATATCTGATTGGATGTATTAGAAGCTCTATCTGATTCAAGTAAAATGAACAATTTGTTCTCTATGGTGGCTGTCCACCTTATTTTCCTCAATATGTGCTCAGCATTATTTTGTCAAATAGAAAGGTCATTGGGATAGAATTTATTTTTATAGACCAAATTAACTTCAAGTGGGAGGTGGTTGCTTTCAGTTCTAGAGCCAATGGAAAATTTGCTAATATAAGGAACTGTGTAAGGCGAGCAGATACAGTAGTCTACTACACTGCAGCCTCTCGTAGAGACATATGTAAATTCATTGGTGTTGGGAAACTGAGGAATACCATTTAAAATAATTAAATTGTGTGTAATACAAAGTTGCCCTAAATTGGACCCCGCCTTATTGATCAGGGAGTCTTTTGATGTTCTAGAAAGAGAAAGGATGGGGGGGGAAGTGATTCCTCATTCTCCTCATAGCTCAATTGTGAGATCAGTATTTGATTTTATGGACCAATTTGAACGTTGAAATCTCCCAACAATATGAAATGAGATAAACATC